ATTGGTGGGGACGAGAGAGGGCCTTTTCAGTGGTGGCCCCTTGACTCTGGAACTCACTCCCTAAAGACATCAGACAGGCCCCAACTCTGGCAGTCTTCAGGAGGAGCGTGAAGATGTGGCTGTTCCAGTGTTCCTTCCCGGAATAATGATCCCATAGCACTTTGTCCTCCAACGCACTTTACTTTTGTCCTCCAAAGCACTTTACGTTTCTTTAGGTCTGCTCGTATGCCCTTCCACAAACACCGGTATCACCTTTCGTCCATGTCCCAGCATTATTTCCAATTTTAACTCTACATTTGGCCTTCCCACTGTTTTTAATTGTGTGTTGTCTTATTGATAATGTTGTGTATTTTAATGTCTATGTTTTTTAATTGCTTGTATTGTTGTTATTATTTCTTGTATTGTTGTGTTTGGGCTCGGCCTCATGTAAGCCGCACCGAGTCCCTTGGGGAGATGGTAGCAGGGTACAAATAAAGTATTATTATTTTTTATTATTATTACTTTCCCTTAGCCTGTGTAAAAGAGATTTTGCTGTATTTATTTGGAGGTAATGGAGTGTGATCTACTAAACCTGGAAGTATTTAGTTTTATGTTTGTGTGTGTTGCCGACACACATGGCTACCACTCCTCGCATGGTTTTCTAATTGTGGAAAAGTTCATTAGGCGCCAGACAATGATTGGTTCGGAGATGCTGGCAAAGAACAATGGAACCTGTGCTAGGGCCCTCTGGCAGATTCCTGCCACTGAATAGCACATTAAATAGCAAGCAGATGGTCTCCCTCCCCACCCCCCAACATGCAGCTTTTAGCAGATGATTGATGTCCACCTGGCAGTGAAGGCATTAGTGTGACAACGAAAAGCAACAGCCTGGCATGGTGATTTCCTCATGGATTGGCTTAGGGAAGAGAGGGCACAAGTTATTTCTGTGCCAAAGGGAAACAAGGCTTTGTCATTCCCGATGTAGCAGGTTTCCTAACTGGTGTGTATGTGTGGAATTTGCAGAGCTTCCCCAAAGAAGCAGACAATGAGGGGTGTCACTTTGCTTTTCTCTTACCAGTTTCACCCAACAGGAGAGTCATTGTTTTCCTTGCTGGAGAGCTGGTGGAGGAGAAAATTGTTTGTGATGATGCTGTCCCCTGGCCATCTGTTTGCAGGAAGGCATCAGGCTGAGGAAGCAAAGTGAAAAGGGACTTCTGATTGTGGTTCTCATGAGGCTTTGCTCCTGGCACCACCACATCCCAACCCAGCAAGTCATTCAGTGCCATTTTGTGTTGCAAGAGGCATAGCTTTTTCCCACCGGGGGGAATCAGAGTAACCTTCCTTGAGCCATGTTACGTACAAATAAGTGAGTGGTGGAGTCTAAGTTTGCCGTCTTGTATGCCACGTATCACTGGCATCAAGCAGAGCTGGGAAGGTTACATTTGGTGTTCCAGGTATTGTTTGATCTGGTGCATCGCTTATTCTAGGTTGATCAAAGACTAGCATGAAAGTTGAAAAATTCCTACCCAAATGCCTCCAAAATGCCCCTGGAAAAGCAATTTTTAGAAGTAATCTGAAAAACATCATGAAAAACATTCATTCTCACTTGTTCGGTTACTTATTTATTTACAGTATTTATATTCTGCCCTTCTCACCCCACAGGGGAATCAATGTACATATACAGGGCAAACATTCAATGCCATAGACCAGGGATCCTCAAACTAAGGCCTGACTTCGCCACAGTGGTCCACGCTTTGGTTACATCCTGTTTAGATTACTGCAACGCTCTCTACGTGGGGTTGCCTCTGAAGACTGCCCGGAAGCTTCAATTAGTCCAACGTGCGGCAGCCAGACTACTAACGGGAGCGGGGTACAGGGAGCATACTACTCTTCTGTGCGCCAGCTCCACTGGCTGCCAGTCAGCTTCCGAGCACAATTCAAAGTGCTGGTCTTAACCTATAAAGCCCTAAACGACTCCGGCCCAATTTACCTGTCTGAACATATCCTCCCCTATGAGCCATCAAGATTGCTAAGATTGTCTGGAGGGGCCCTACTCTCGATCCCACCGGCCTCAAAGGCGTGGCTGGTGGGGACGAAAGACAGGGCCTTCTCGGTGGTGGCCCCTCAACTCTGGAACTCCCTTCCACTGGAGATCAGAACTGCCCCTTCTATCTTAATGTTCAGGAAACATGTGAAAACTTGGCTTTGGGGATTGGCTTTCGACGAATGAGCCATGATCCTGTGATATGGATGGATGATGACGAATAATGATTTTTGATGACGACTGACCACTGTAATCATATGATTGTATTTGCTGTTTTAATGTTTTAGTGTGATTTAGAATTTGATGTTTTAATGACTGTCTGTAATATGGATGTTGGAAACCGGCCTGAGTCCCTCGAATGGAGGTGAAAAGACTGGTATATAAAACTACTAAATAAAAAATGAATAAAATAAATAAGGCCCGAGGGCCGGATGTGGCCCTCCAAGGTCATTTATTCGGCCCTCGCTCAGAGTCAACCTAAGTCTGAAATGACTTGAATGCACACAACAACAACAACAATCCTATCTCATCAGCCAAGAGGAGGTCCACACTTCCCATTGAAATACTATTAAGTTTATATTTGTTAAAATTGTTCTTCATTTCAATTATTGTATTGCTTTAAAGTGTTTTTTCACTACAAATAAGATATATGCAGTGCGCATAGGAATTCATTCATGGTTTTTTTTTTTCAAATTATAATCCGGCCCTCCAACAGTTTGAGAGACTGTGACCTGGCCCTCTGTTTAAAAAGTTTGAGGACCCCTGCTATAGACACACAACATATATAGACAGACATTCAGAGACTATTTAACATTCCAGCTTCTGGCCACCAGGGGTGCTGTTGCTTCAACGTCCGTTGTGACACTGATGAAGTACTTTCCTCATTCTTTGCATACTTCCTGGAGATTTTTATGGCCTCATAAATTAGCCTCCCCACATAAGTGGTACTTAAATTTCCTACTTGACAGATGCAACTGTCTTTCGGGTTGCAAAGGTCAACAACAAGCTACATAATTTTGGTTGGGAGCTCACTCAGACCCAGCTGGCTTTGAACTCATGACCTTTCTGTCAGTAGTGATCTTAATGCAGCTGACTCCCAGCCAGCTGCACCACAATCCCGTTGCTTTTAACTATAGCATTGTTGTGCTTTCACTACGAAAAGAAAAGATAACCATTACAAGTAGCTACACCACTTCACATTCATGACTTCTAAACTCGTGTCTTTTTGGAAGAGTCAGGTAAAATAAGTGACAAAGAATAGAAAATGCATGTGATTCTTCTTCTTCTGCTTAGGTGCTGTACATACAGAGAACTTGAGACTGATTATATGAGATGTTGATTCGTTCTCTTGTAAAATGAAGTAAATCATAATGACCATTTTTTTCCAAAAGGCGTACATATAGTGAGCAGGTTGGAGTACAGGACATTTCCTCATTTGTGTCAGACTGGTTTGGGTGACAGCTGGGTGCTAGGAATCTGCATTAATGATTCCAATTGTTGCCTGGAAAATGAAATATGCTACGAAGGCAGGAAGATTAATGCAAATTTTGTTGCCTTTGCATAAATCTACTTGGTGTGCTCTCTTCATTTATGCCTTGCTTGTGAACCCTGTTTATTTTAATATTTTGCAAACATTGCCTGCTGCTTCCCTTCAGTGCCTTTCTATAATCATCTGAACTTTAAAACACTGTATTCTTAAACATTCTGCTCCCCTTCCCCGTAATATCTATACCTTGCCTTTTTGCTAATATCCTAGAGCAAACTAAGGCCCGGGGGCCGGATGCGGCTCTCCAAGGTCATTTACCCAGCCCTCGCTCAGGGTCAACTTAAGTCTGAAATGACTTGAAAGCACACAACAACAACAACAATCCTATCTCATCAGCCCAAAGCAAGCCCACACTTTCCACTACTAATAATTTTATATTTGTTAAAATTGTTCTTCATTTTAATTACTGTACTGTTTTTAAGTGTTTTTTTGCACTACAAATAAGATATGTGCAGTGTGCATAGAAATTCATTCATTTTTTTTCCAAAATATAATCCGTCCCTCCAACAGTTTGAGAGACTGTGACCTGGCCCTCGGTTTAAAAAGTTTGAGGACCCCTGTCCTAGAGCCTTAAACATATAATATTTTATCCTGACTATAGTCCCTAACTATGTTTGGACAAGACTCAGATTTGAGCAGGGATTTAAACCCAGGTCAAAACTTGACATATTAATATTCTTGAACTTCAGATGCCATTGTACAGGTACAACATTTCATGTGAAATTGCAGAAAAATAGATAGGACATGGCTATGGGAAATAGCCTTACCATTGTTACAGTAAAAACTGCCAGGTACAAGAGCAGAATACCTTCTGAATGAGGACATCCTTGGCGTGTACTTTTAGGATGTCTATTATTAGACAGCCAGCATGCACATTAATACAAACATAGCCAAAAAATGGTGAAGGGGAGGAGGCAAGGAGATACAAACAGCACTGAGGCTATGGTAGTGTTCTCCAAACTAAAACAGACTTTCCTGGCTGAAGGACCTCAGATGATGGAGGTTTGTAACTCCCATAATCCTTAAGTATAGGATTCTCGTCACTGTGCAGTCCAGCAAGATCTTCAGGCCTCAAGTTGGGAAAGGTGATGACTGATGTAAGGTCTCCAGGTTCAGTACTCTAAAATTAGAGTGGATAAACCATCACTCTGCCATCCCTTGGTATCATTCTGAGCGTGTTCTCTGGTTTCCCTTAAGATATTTTAAGTAATGGGTGGGGCATTAAACTGTCAGTACCTCATTTTTGGTTCAAGGTTGAGGTTTCCTTGGCATAGTAATCTGTTTTATTGTATGAAGCAAGATAGCCAATTTTGTGATGTCTCTTGCATTTCTTTTGTATCTGGTTTAGAAGAGATTTTTTTTGCTAACTTAAAGGGTTGTATGATGACCAGAAGGGTAATCACACCTGTCTTTCCTTCCATTCCTTCCCAGAGATGCTGACTTCAGACCCCTTTACAGAAACTTCCTGCAGAGTCTACCCAACGTCATTCGAGGAAACTCCTTCAGACCTACTGTGGCCCCCACTGTAGAACCAGAGACTACCATTGCACCCTGGAGAATCGCAGACAGGTGAGAGACATTTTCGAGCTGCCTCTATTATTATTATTATTATTATTATTATTATTATTATTATTATTAACTTTATTTATACCCCGCTAACATCTCCCGAAGGACTCGGTGCGGCTTACAAAAGGCCAAGGCCCTCAATAAAACAACAGCATAACAAATACAACAATAAAACTCAGAAAGCAAAACAAAGAAAATTAAAGCAATAACAATAAACATTAAAAACAATAACACCACGACGCATTTAAAACTAAGGCTGGGCCAAATGTAATGAATAAAATTTAAAAGTGCTGGACATGACAGGTGAAATGTATAGGTTTTTAGAGGTAGTGCTGTGTCCAGACAATCTTAAATCTCTAGTAAAGTGCATTTGGGGCATAATGCTAGGAGCTTCCTATTCTGGAAAGGCACACCGGAACAGCCACGTCATCAAGCTCTTCCTGAAGACTGCCAGTTTTGGGGCTTGTCTAATGTCCTTGGGGAGAGAGTTCCAGAGTCGGGGGCTACCACAGAGAAGGTCCTGTCCCTTGTCCCCACCAACCGCGCTTGCGACGCAGGTGGGATCGTGAGCAGGGCCTCTCTAGATGATCGGAGAGATCGTGTGCCTCTAGTCTCTTGACTACTGCTTCTGAACTAGTGGCACTCCAGTATTCCCATAGTACTTTTGCAATGGTCAGAGACAACAATCAGATGTAGATTTAGGCCCTGAAGAGACTCAGTAAACCATGGAATGGAGAAAGAAGAGTCTACAGGCTAAGAAACTGGCATTCTGAACCTAGGGCTCAAACCTGCCCTATGATGGTAAATTGCAATTGAACAAGTTTTTGGTGGAGTATCATTGTGGGATGAGAGCCTTTTCTGACAGATACGTTATGGGGAGACTGTTCCTGGCGTATACCACTTCCAAGTATGTAGAGAAGATAGTGTGGTTAAATGCAACCTTCTCTCTTTCTCTCAGTATATGTGTGTATTTAAGCCATCACGGTATGTAGAAAGCTACACATCAGATTCTCAGAATCCTTGGTAGACATTTATTTATTTCATTTCATTTCATTTCTACCCTGCCCTTCTCCCCACAAAGGGATCTCAGGGTGGCCTCACATAAGCATCAATTGATGCTATCAACATATACACCACAGGAATTTCAATTAAAACAGTAAAACTCAATTTAAAACATTATACAAATTCATTAATAAATTCATTTAACAATAAATTAACGTGCCACTAAAACCAAGATCCAGCCAGGTCAATCCAATGTCACAATGTTCAAAAATTTCTTTCCAAGTTGTTTCTATCCTCTAGTCCAGGGTTTCTCAACCTTCCTAATGCCGTGACCCCTTAATCCAGTTCCTCAAGTTGTGGCAATCCTCAACCATAAAATTATTTTTGTTGCTACTTCATAACTGTAATTTTGCTACTGTTATGAACCGTAGTGTAAATATCTGATACACAGGATGTATCTTCATTCACTGGACCAAATTTGGCATAAATACCCGATACACCCAAATTTGAATACTGGTGAAGTTGGGGGGGATTGATTTTGTCACTTGGGAGTTGTAGTTGCTGGGATATATAGTTCACCTACAATCAAAGATCATTCTGAACTTCACCAAAGACCATTCTGAACTCCCATGACCAACAGAAGATACTGGAAGGGTTTGGTGGACATTGACCTTTAGTTTTGGAGTTGTAGTTCACTTACATCCAGAGAGCGCTGTGGACTCAAATGATGATGGATCTGGACCAAACTTGGCATGAATACTCAATGTGCCCAAATCTGAACACTGGTGGTGCTTGGGGGAAATAGAGCTTGACATATAGTTGCTGGGATTTCTAGTTCACCTAAAATCAAAAAGCATTCTGACCCCCACCAATGATAGAATTGCGTCAAACTTCCCATACAGAACCCCCATGACCAACAGAAAATACTATGTTTTCTGATGGACTTTGGCGACCCCTCTGGCATCCCCTGGCGACCCCCTTAGGGGTCCCAGCCCCCAGGTTGAGAAACACTGTTTTAGTCGAACACCTGGTCCCAAAGCCAAGTCTTCAGTTGTCTTCTAAAGGACAGGAGGGAGGTGGCCAACCTGATGTCCTTAGGGAGGGAGTTCCACACACGGGGAGCCACTGCCGAGAAGGCCCTGTCTCTTGTCCCCACCAACCACGTTTGCAAAAGTAGTGGGATCGAGAGCAGGGCCTCTCCTGATGATCTTAAGCTTTGTAATGGTTCATAGCAAGAGATACGTTTGGACACGTAATCTGGGACAGAACTGTTCTAATTTTTAATCCCAAAAAGGTATTTTTCCAAGCAGTAGAGAGCTTTCATTATCCGTCTTCTCTTGGTTATGGTAGGTTTCTAACTACAAGTCTGTTAGTTCATGGGGAATATGCATATACAAACACAAAGTTGAGATGGCACAGTCTAGTAACTCTTATTTTTTGGAAATGCTTCAAAGCCAAAAGTAAATATGAGTTAGCTTTGGATCTTCTTTTCTTTACTCAAAAGTAGCATCCATTCGGTTTAGAAGTCCTGCTGGATTATCTGCTAGCCTTGGACAGTCAAACAAGAGGTGTTCCAGTTTCACAGTGGCATGAACTATAGTTGAGATGCCCCATTATCTGGCTGACAAGAAATCTTTTAAAACTCCAGCCAAGAAATAAGGGCTTGAGAGAAGTAGGAAGATGATAGTTTCACAGTAGAGCATTTTGTAAGAAATCGTGGTTTTGTTCAGGATATACAGTGATTTGAAAGTAAAGCAAGATGAAGAGCCAAAACCAGTTATACAAGGCAAGTTTGTGGAAAGAAGACATGTCAGGATCCAAGTTTGCTGCCTTTCCCACTGTGTCTGAGTTGCATGACCATTGATCCTTCATATGAGTTTGGTTCTCTTTTCACTGGCTGGATTTTAGCCAGATTAAAGAGCTTCCTGTAGTGTCCAAAGGGTGACTTTTGCCCCAGGGTTGCCATTTACAGATTTATGTCATTGTGGTGATATTGTTGCTGAATTCAAATGGCTTTCTTTATATCAATTTTTTTCTGCTGCAGGAAAAAGGTGTACATGGCTGACTTGGAGTCTGCGGTACTTTATACCCTCCGGGTAGAAGCAGCAAGATTCCGCCATCTTGACAATGAGCGGCTTTCTGTACTGAAGCAATATGTGAATCTTTTGGTCAAGGTAAGGCAGGGCATGCTCTGAAGCTCACCTTCCCCACCACACTATATCCACTTTTTAATGGTTATATGAAAGCTCTTGATTTTGTTCTAAACTCCCAACACCAACACCCCATCTCAGGATGTCACCTTTGTGTACTATTTTGTTTCAAAGCAAATGCTGCAATCTGGACACTGTTAACATGTCTATTTTGAATAAAATCAGTTTCGTGAGGTAGTTTAGTTTATAGTTTTTCAGAGTGATCCGGATTAACTGTATTCCTATATAGTTCCAATGTGGCCTGGTCTGGACCAAGCTTTCTGATACCCATTTGACTGCAGATAGATAGCTTGAAAAAAATACTTATTTGCTCATAAACCTTCCTGGGATGGATTGTCTATTCAAATCTATAGAAGCTGGTATTAATCTGGACTGGACTTGTGTATCTGTGGTCCAGGAACCACATGCAACCCATTCTGGATTCTGTGGGCCTTTTGAATCCCTTTATCTTCTTTTCTTTGTGTGTTTTCCAAAGATGGAGAGAAGGGGGTTATGCTACCCAGCAATGTTGTTCTGATTTATCCTCTCTCAGCTGCAATATCATACAAAAGCTGACTGGCACAACCTGGGGATCACAACCAGATACAGTGAAGACGTCTGCCCTTGCACTATGCTACTCTGCTGCTGAGTATGCATGCCCAGTGTGGAACACATCTCACCACGCTAAAAGAGTGGATGTGGCTCTTAATGAGACATGATGCATTATCATGGGGTGTCTGCGCCCTACACCACTGGAGAAATTATACTGTTTAGCCGGTATTGCACCACCTGACATCCCTCGGGGAGTAGCAGCCAATAGTGAAAGGACCAAGGCAGTGACATCTCCAGCCCACCCCATTTGTGTATCAGCCAGCACGCCAATGACTTAAATCAAGAAATAGTTTTCTAAGATCTACAAAGACGCTTACTGGAACAACTCAGAAAGCAAGAGTCCAAAAGTGGCAGGCTCAAACCCAGAACCTCAATCAGTGGCTGGTACCAAATGAGAAACTCCCTCCTGGGCGCACAGAAAACTGGATGACTTGGAAGGCGCTGAATAGACTGCTCTGGCACCACGAGATGCAGAGCCAACCTTAAGAAATGGAATCCACGACATGCAAGTGTGGAGAAGAGCAAACCACAGACCACCAACCTGAGTCCTGCCACATGCACAATGGAGGACCTTCTTATAACAACACCAGAGGCACTCCAAGTGGCCAGCTACTGGTCAAAGGACTTTTTTTTTTTGAAAAATATTTTTATTAAGCTTCTAAACATACATATAAAAAAACCTTGGGGAGGGGAGGAAAAAAGGGGGGGGGGTGTTGGGGTGCATTCGCTCCTTCTCGCAATCGCTTCTGGTGCCATTCATCTCTTCTTTCATCCCGTGCGGGGGGGAGGGGAGTGGGGAGGGGTATTTTGGGGTGACAGGGGTATAAGAACTTCCAGGTTGGTCTGTGCATTTTGGTATATATGAATTTTCTTCGTAACTCGAACATTAGTCCGTGTTTTCGTCCTTTTTAAGCAATGCTAGTCATTCTTTACCTTTAAGCCTTTCTATTCTTAAAATAATTCAGGAACCTGTCCCAGTTCGTATTTTTTCTCTTGTCATTATTGTTTGAGAGTCTTTGTGTCAATAAATCCATGTTCATCAGGTCATACACCTTCATGGTCCATTGCTCTAGTGTTGGTATTTCATTAGTTTTCCAAAGTTGCGCCAGTTTTATTCTGGCCGCTGTAGAGAGATAGAAATTTTTTTTGTTTTCATGAGCTCTAGTTTAAAGTCTAAAATACCCAATAGAAAGTATTCCGGTTTTAATTTGAATTTTGTGTGGAGGATTTTTTCTGCTTCCTTGTGGATCTGGCGCCAGAAGGTTTTAACCTTCTTGCAACCCCACCACATATGCATAAAATTTCCACTGGCTCTCTGACACTTCCAACATTTCCCCTCTGTTTTCCCTTTGTTGAATTTCGCAATTTGTTCCGGTGTCAGGTACCACCTGTAGAAAAGCTTGTACCAGTTTTCTTTGATTTCATTTGCATATGTGAGTTTTAATTTTCTTGACCATATTTCCTCCCATTCCTCGAGTCTGATTGGACGACCAATGTCTTTGGCCCATCTAATCATAATGGAATTTTAATGGAATACCAAGTCTGTTAACTTTGTGTTTTGTTTGTTTGTTTGTTTTTAATGCAATACAACTGTTTCGGTTCGCTCCTGACACGATAAATAAATAGCTGCATCCTAACTTACATTCTATAGGAATCAGTAACTCATCAGAGGAAAAATGCTCCTTATCTCAAATGTAGGAGAAGACTCACTGGTGCAGCCAGTGTAGTATAATGGACCAGAGTTTGAATCCCCACTCAGTCATGAAAACTAACTGAATGACTTTGGGCAAGTCCTACTGTCATCTCAGCCTCAAAGGAAAGCAAGAGCAAAAATTCTTCTGGACAGATCTTTCCAAGGAAACCACATAATGGAGTCACTGTTAGTTGGAAATGACTTGAAGGCACTCAAGAACAATCGTATCCCATTTGAATCGACTTCAAAGCAAGTCATGCCTAGACTGGGGCCAGGTGATTGCTTAGGATAGTAATAGTTTCCAGGGTGTGCCCCGGAAACTATTCTTATAGGATCTCTTGCATTCTTATAGAATGTGGTGGGGCACACCTTTTGGTATGACGGGCCTACAAAAACATTGCTGGGAAATTTGCCAGCGATCCCAAGGAACATTCTTCTCCCATTGAGGCCAGGAAACATCTTGGGTTCTCCTTGAGTTTTAAGGATTCTTTCCCATAATTCTATTTGCAGACATGAAGGCCGCTGTGGCACACCCTTTTCTAGCATTGCAGTACTTCTTGCGTTACAAAAGAAACCTGGACATTACGGCATTCCAGAAGCTCTTATGATTCAAACACAGTAGAAAACTGGTGCTAAGGGAGAGATGAGCAGATATTGGAGTTGGAAGGAGCCTGACCGACAGGTCGCAGGTTCGAATCTGGGGAGAGCGCAGATGAGCTCCCTCTATCAGCTCCAGCTTCTCATGCGGGGACATGAGAGAAGCCTCAAACAAGGATGATAAAACATCAAAACATCCGGGCGTCCCCTGGGCAATGTCCTTGCAGACGGCCAATTCTCTCACACCAGAAGCGACTTGCAGTTTCTCAAGTCGCTCCTGACACACACAAAAAATTGGAATTGGAGGGCTACATTGGCCCTTCATTGGATTTTGGAGAGCCCCTTTTAAAAGATTTAAAAAGAGGTGTCCTCCATTCACATGTTTGTCATATATTTTACCCCATCCTTCTCTGTTATAGGTCTAGGAGAGTCTCACTTTTTTTTGTCAGAAGAAGTCAACCAGAACTTTGTGTTTGGTCTAAAATTGCCTGGGAAGTGTCAAAACATTGTGAAATAATATTGCAAAATTAATAAAGATGTCAGGAGAAAGAACTTAATGCTGGGGTACCACTTGTGAAGATGAGCATCTGGAATAAAATAGCAAATTATCTCTTTAATTCTGACAATCAACCTCTTGCAAAGCTAAGTTTAAAGAATAGTGTTGTGCATAGCTCAAGGAAATTGCAAATGTAATAATGTAATTGAATAATTGAATACTGCCAATTATTTGAGCATCTTCACAACATGAAACATGTCCTGTTGTAGGGTTGGGGAACTGGAACTCTTATGCTGAAGTGGGTTTTCCTCTACAGAAGCTTTTTCTGTTTCACAGCAAGAGAGAGAGAGAGAGAACTAGGGAGAGAGAGAGAGTTTCGGAAGTCATGCCTAACTCTTTCACACCCACTCTCATTTCAATAATGAAGCAACACAGCAACACCTCTAGAAAAACAATCTATATAAATAAAACTGTAATGTTCGTTTGTGGGATTAACATAACTCAAAAACCACTGGACAAATTGACAAAATTTGGACACTATACCCCTAACAGTCCAACGAGTGACCATCACTCATAACCCCCCCCCCCAAAAAAAAACAGCAGAAAGGACTTAAAAACCCCAAACAGCTAAATGACATACAGGAATGAAGAAGAAAGGAAGGGGAAAGAAAGAAGGAAAGAGGAGGGAAAGAAAGAGGAAGAGAAAAGGAGAGGAAAGAGGAAGGAAGAAGGGTAGAGAAGGAAGAAGGAGGGAAGAGAAAGAAAAGGAAAGGGGAAAGGAAAGAGGATAGAGGAAAGAAGGAAGAAAAAAGGGAAGGAAGGAAAGGGGGAGAAAGAAGGAGGGGAAAGGAGAGAAGGAGGAGGAAGCAAAAAGCAAGGAAGGAAAGAGGTAGAGAAGAAAGAAAGGAAGAAAGGGAGGGAAGGAAAGAGAAAGGAAGGATGGAAGAAAAGGAAAGGAAGGAAGGAAAGAAGGAGAGAAAGAGAGGGAGGAAAGAAGGGGAGGAAGAAAGCAAAGGAAGGAAGGAGAGAGGTAGGAAGGAAGAAAAGAGGGGGGAAGGAAGAGAAGAGGAAAAAGGAAGGAAGAAAGATAAGGAGAAGGGAGGAAGGAAAAGAGAAGGAAGGAAGGAAGGAAGGAAGGAAGGAAGGGAAGAAGAAGGAAGGAGGAAGAAGGAAGAAGGAAGGGAAGAGGTAGAGAAGGAAGAAAGGAGAGAAAGGGAGGGAAGGAAAGAGAGAAGGAAGGATGGAAGCAAAAAGCGAAGGTAGGAAAGAAAGAGGTAGAGAAGGAAGAAAGGAGAGAAAGAGAGAGGGAAGGAAAGAAGGAAGGATAGAAGCAAAAAAGTGAAAAAAGGAAGGAATGAGGTAGAGAAGGAAGAAAGAGAAAGAGGGAGGGAAGGAAAGAGAAGGAAGGCTGGAAGCAAAAAGTGAAGGAAGGAAGGAAAGAGAAGGAAGAGAAAGGAAGGAAAAGAAAAAGGGGGGAAGGAAGAAAAGAGATAGAAAAGGAGAGAAGGAAAGAAGAAAAGGGAAGAAAGGAAACAGGAAACGAAGGAAGGAGGGAAAGAAGGAGAAAAAGAGGGAGGAAAAGTTGACCACAGCAACTCCTGGCAGGTGCAGCTTAGTGGGAAATAATGTCATATCTAAAAAGGTAAAGGTAGTCCCCTGACATTAAGTCCAGTCATGTCTGACTCTGGGGTGTGGTGCTCATCTCCATTTCTAAGCCGAAGAGCCAGTGTTGTCCGTAGACACCTCCAAGGTCATGTGGCCGGCATGACTGCATGGAGCGCCGTTACCTTCCCGCCGGAGCGGTACCTATTGATCTACTCACATTTGCATGTTTTCGAACTGCTAGGTTGGCAGAAGCTAGGGCTGACAGCGGAAGCTCATGCCGCTCCCCGGAATCGAACCTGCAACCTTTCGATCAACAAGCTCAACAGCTCAGTGCTTTAACCCACTGCGCCACCGGGGGCTCCATATCTATCTAGCATAAAATGTGCTACTACATTTTGGCCACTAGGTGGAGCCATTTGACCAGAATCCTAATGCTGTATCTCATGGTTCCAACCGTCTTAGTAATTTGTTGCTTCTCTTTTATGTGCTTTCCCTGCTGTGGTTATTGTACATCCAAAGCAGATACAGAATTTTGGAGACGTTCAGCTTTCCACCTTCAAGGTCCAAGATCTATCTTTGTATTTGCAGGATCCAAGCAGTGTCCCATTCCCAGCATCAAAGCATCTGAGATAGGAAAGTCAGTGAAAGCAGTGGGCAGGACTTAGAAAAGCTGCTGCCAATGGAGTGATGCTGTGGCAGAAAGGTAGATTAGTCTCAGTCTGAAGTATCTTATATTTGAGCAGGATTACTGTCTCAACAACTGTTGTTACGTTTAGAGTGAGATTCTTACTTGAGGTGTTCCATCATTATCCCACCGATGATTAAGTTTGTACTGTTAGGTCAAAGCAAATACACCAGATGTCTGATGTACCTACTTAGTCCGAATCTATGTAAGACAATTTTGTGTACCCCAGAAAAGTGTGCAGTCCTTGCACCTACTCTTTTCTTGAAAAACATTTTACAAACAAAATGAAATAAAATACAATTCAAACAGATTTATTGAACATTAATGACAACACTCCCATTCAGAACTTCTTGCACATTCTGATTGGGAAGCCCATCAGATATGTCCATTGAGGCTCTATTAATAACAAGAGCAAAGGGCTCTAAAACCTCTCTTCCTTTCATCCACACTCTCAATCAATTTTCCTATTCCATCTTCTCCTGCTCCCTTCTCCCGTCCAGCCTGCCCCCCCCCCCCCCCCCTGCCTTCCTTCCTTTGACATTTCCTCCCTCTGTCCCACCCCCAGTGAGCGCATTTGGTCCCCTTTCCCCAGAGTGCTTGTGGTTTTAAAGTGCTGATGCTAATCGGATTTAAGTTGACTTATTGTCAAAGTAGCTTTACGTGTCCCTTGGAGACTATTTTGGAGTTACGGTCAAGATTTGGATCTTGGCTTTTGGCCCACAAGGGGTGACTTGTTTGCTTCAGCAGCATCTTGAATACAAAAGGGGAGGGGAGGGATGATCTCTTGGTAAGGTGAATTTGGACATGGATCCTTCAGAAACCACTGAAAGCACTGACCAAATAAGCCAAAAGCAGCTAAAAAGCACATGGGATGTCTCCATGTTTTCTGTATTTGGGTGCTGGCAACAGCTGGGTAGGCCTCAAGAGTGGCGGAAAGATAGTTGAATACAGAGCTGGGGAACGTGTTGGACTACAGCTACCATCATCCCCAGACAGCATAACCAGTGAAGATTTAACAACTACACAAAAAGGCTTTCCTAAGGTCATCTCATGAGTTGGAATGAAGTATCTTTGGTATTCTGTTGATACCCAGTTCTCCTTTTCTGTTTAACATCTCCAGTAATGGCTGTGGTTCTGCTAGACTAGAATTCTTACTAAACAAGATCATATTAAATAAGAAAACATGCTCTAGAAACAAGTGATAAATCCTTCCCATATTATTAGTTGATTTGTACTAGACTAGTACCATAGAGTGTAGTGGGCTGGATTACAACTATGCCAAGATTATTATCACAGAGGACATTATTTTATTCCAACCTCACTTTTAGTGAGGTTGTTGAAGTACGTTTATGTATATGTGTTTGTAAGAGTGGGGGATTGATTCCAGGTTGAATCTTCTCAGCAACTTCTGCCACCAAATATGTTTTCTTTTTAAATGCCAACTTCACATTTTCATTTAGCCAAATGTTATATTTTTTTCTCTTTTCTGCTGTTGTTTTATTTATATTTTGTTCTGATTTATTTTTCCATTATATTTTTAGATTTTGACACCTATTATTTTAGTTGTCTTAGTCTGCAATCTTGTACTCGGTGAGACATGTTTTTGAAATGGGGTCATGCTGCTAAATATATGTGGAGGGTTTTTTGTTTTGTTTTTTACAAAAAGACAGGATAGAAATGGAAATATTCTGTATGAATTTAATCCTATGGTGCCTCCCTATGGGATTTTCCAACTGTATTTAGAACTTTTGTATCCCGTTCTTCTCTACCTCCGTGGAGGGACTCAGAACAGCTAACAGCAAAATTCAATGCTATAAATAAAGTCATAAAACAACATACAATAAATACGTTCTAAAATACATATAAAAACAATTCATCACATTAAAAACAACATCCAACTCAGTCCAAAACGCTGTGGCCAAATAACTCTTAGTCTATATCAAATCATCCGTCAATATGCAAATGCCTGACTCCAAAGCCAGGATTTTAGCTGCTTCCAGGAGAGAGGGAGAGAGTTCCATAGCTGGGGGGCCACCACAGAGAAGGCCCTGTCATGTTGTTGTAGGTTTCTTGGGCTGTATGGCCATGTTCTAGAAGCATTCTCTTTTGCTGTTTTGCCTGTATCTATGGCAGGCATCCTCAGAGGTTGTGAGATCCTCTGAGAGAATAGTTGTTTTAATAGTGGATATATTAGCAGAAATAAAGAAGTCCAAGTTGTCAGCTGGTTTTACTCAACATGATATTATGCTCCACAGGCCAGCTCAAAAAATGTCTGCCTGGGATGGTTGGTTGCTTGGATGGAAAAAAAATTTAGAGCATAATTTGCGGGGTCCATATGGCTCTGCTGTTAGTGATTAAATGTGTATCTACAGGTGTCTATATAGGGATCAGGAAAATGTGCACAGTTGTTTTTGAAATGCCATGTACTTGAAGTGTTGAATTCCTCAGAAATTCAATTTTCTTTCAAATGAGATCTTTTCTCAGATTAAAGTGGCAAAAAACAACCTTAACCTGACATTGTGTAGTATGTGTCTGTATAGTATATTTCCTTGGTTACAAGGGATCTGTAAACTCCTGTATGTTTACTATTTATTTAACATTTGTGGGTCCATGGACCGTAATAAAATTCTTACTTACTTACCTTGCTTCCAGCACCCAGTTTAGATGGAATTGGCTTGCGGTGTTTGTCTTTATTCTCACAGAAAATCTGCCAAGTACTTCTCTCAACAGGAATGATCCACTATGCACCGCATGCATTTGTTTAGAATTTGTACTTCTGCAGAACGGTAGAATATACATGGGCCCAGATATGGTGTTCATTGCTTGACTCTCCCTGCATTCATTCACCACTGCCACAGCTAGAAGTTCACAATCCTTTCCTTTTTCATTTTTATACCAGTATTTTCCTGGACGCCCTGCAGTCATGAACTATCTTCGTAATCTGGACTTGTGGCTGAAACCAATGACAAATGTTTCAAGAAATGAATGGGAAGAGGCTCTCAGAAATAATCCAGAGGTATGTAAATGGAACCAAGGAGATTTTGTTTCTTTAATGTTTTGTATGATAAGTTTCTCCCTCAACTTGGGTCGGTTACCCCTGGCCATGGAATACACTAGGATTTTCCAAAATAGTCCAGTATTATAAAGCCTGCCCAGTTACACTGATTGTGGATGCTGGCAGATGTGAGCCAGTGCATAGAATCATAGAGTTGGAAGAGACCTCATGGGCCATCCACTCCAACCCCCTGCCGAGAAGCAGGAAAATTGCATTCAAAACACCCCCAATAGATGGCCATCCAGCCTCTGTTTAAAAGCTTCCAAAGAAGGAGCCTCTACCACACTCCGAGGCAGAGAGTTCCACTGCTGAACAGCTCTCACAGTCAGGAAGTTCTTCCTAATGTTCAGATGGAATCTCCTTTCTTGTAGTTTGAAGCCATTGTTCCTCGTCCTAGTCTCCAGGGCAGCAGAAAACAAGCTTGCTCCCTCTTCCCTATGACTTCCTCTCACATATTTATACATGGCTATCATGTCTCCTCTCAGCATTCTCTTTTTTAGGCTAAACATGCCCAGCTCTTTAAGCCGCTCCTCATAGGGCTTGCTCTCCAGACCCTTGATTTTTTAGTTGCCTTCCTCTGGACACAATCCAGCTTGTCAATATCTCTCTTCAATTATGGTGCCCAGAATTGGACACAATATTTCAGGTGTGGTCTAACCAAGACAGAATAGAGGGGGAGCATGACTTCCCTGGATCTAGACACTATACCCCTATTGATACAGGCCAAAATCCCATTGGCTTTTTTTGCCGCTGCATCACATTTGGAGGGAAGGATCTTCTGTAGTTTTGCATATTGGAAAGTGAAAGTCAAGACCATTCAGCCTCTCTGTTAATCTAGATGCAATAAATGTTTATCATTGTACTACCCAGCTAATCCTGAAAGAAAACAGTAACTCTGATCTGTGATTGAAGTGTCTACATAGAATCTTAAATGTAATTCATTGGCAGCATAGTAACCATAAGATGATTTTTGAAATCAAAATGTATTGGACACACCTCCAGCTGATGGCAGGCTTTGCTATTCCCTCTGATCCAGACATTTGAAAAAGAGGAAGTAGGAGTATGTTGTAAAATCAGATTATGAAATGTATGATTTTATTAATTACAATATTACACAGGAAAAGCGTTGGTTTTTTTTTTTGTAATTATAAATGGTCTAAAACAAACTGTAACAACAAATGGTCGCGAGGGGGTGTCAGAAGGAGTATTTTCCGTTGGTCAAGAGGGTTCTGTGTCCCAAATCTGGCCCAATTCCACTGTTGGTGGGGTTCAGAATGCTCTTTGATTGTAGGTGAACTATAAATCCCAGCAACTACAACTCCCAAATGTCAAGGTCTATTTCCCCCAAACTCCATCTGTGTTCATATTTGGGCATATAGAATATTCATGCCAAGTTTGGTCCAGATCCTTCATTGTTTGAATCCACAGTGCTCTCTGGGTGTAGATAAACTATAACTCCAAAACTCAAGATCAGTGCCCACCAAGCCCTTCCAGTATTTTCTGTTGGTCATGGGAGTTCTGTGTGCCAAGTTTGGTTCAATTCCATTGTTGGTGGGGTTCAGAATGTTCTTTGATTGTAGGTGAACTATAAATCCCAGCAACTACAACTCCCAAATGAAAAAAAAAATTTTTTTGAGTGATGGTCACTCCTTGGGTTAGTAGGTATCTTGTGACCAAATGTGATGGCAATTTGTCCAGTGGTTTTCGAGTTATGTTAATCCCACAAACGAACATTACATTTTTATTTATATAGACTTATCAGTGTTCAAAATGAATTAGAACTTGAAGAAATTGCCAGTGTTTATTTGGAGTGGCGGCTATATTCTTTGCACTGGGTTCATTTTACTCTGAATAAAAAACAATGTACTTAAACCAGCCAGCTGCACGTTGCAGTTGGGTGCTTAGAAGGGAAGAGGAATCTTGTCTACTTTTGCTGACCTTCACCTACAGAGTCTCTCCTAAACTGTTGAAAAATCCCAGTACTCCCCAGATCACAACCAGGAAGCTTTTATCCAATTGTTTGTTCCCTTCCTCCTTCCGCTGCAGCCTTATTGCACCATGCGAGCTTAGATCTCACTGTCTCTTTCAGCTTCCCCATGCCAGGTTGCCGGAGAACACACTCTGGGTAGGATGCCAAGGAAGCAAGCCTGAGTTTCGAGGATTCCCATGCGGACTCTGGACTCTCTTCCACCTCCTGACAGTGCAGGAAGCACTGCTCAGTCCCTATCGTTCCTGTGAGTTGGGCAAGCCTTATTTGGTTCTCTGCATTAACGTTTTCATTCCTAATCAACATGTTTCGGGTATGACAATATTTAGCTTGGCAGGGAATTATGTGGATACATTTTTCAACTTTACAACGATTGCATTCTCTTGTTCCAGATATATTTGTTTCATTTTCCTGATGACTTAAACTGCACCACAATGTTGCAGTATGCGTTATTTTGATCACTGCTTCACTTTAATTTTTCACAATTGGAGGATTTTGTATTGGCACTGTTCTCCTCCCCCCCCCCACCCCCCCCCAACCCCCCTCCCTTTTGGACTACCTTTGTTTACCTTGTCCAACCCTAACCACTTCATAGTCTCACAGAGATGTCTCAAAGCATCCCTGGCTGTTTCATGTAGTTGGAAGATCAAAACACCATGCCTAAATAACAGCACAAAATCAGATTTGTGTGTTTAAGAGCCTGCAAAGTTGAAGCATATACAAATACTGGAAGTATTGCTTGTGTTAAGAAGGAACATGCTGAAAGGAAAATAATTGTGGTTAATAGGGTTCTAAACAAGCTGGCTACGTTTGCCCTTTAGATTTTCAAACAGTGGTAGTTTATTCCTGCGGTAATATCATCAGTAAACTCATGTACCATCTAGTCTGCCAATTTGGCATGCTCCCCAATGAATGTGAAATATGTCCAGGTTGGCCAGGAAATTGATCTGCAATAGAGAAGTAGTACGAGAAAGCAGTGCCGAATCCTTCCTCCATCTACTTCCTTCATCCTGAAAGACTTGTCGTCCTCTGTGCTTTTTTCTTTGTTGTAGCTCATAAAGAAAAATGGCACCCCCCTTTAATTCCCACTCCAAATTGTCTCTTTCCCTTATCCCTTTCTTCTTCAGCAGTCCATTTGGCTTAGCTATAAATTGGCAGTATGAATATTGCAGATGTGCAGCATACTGTAGTCCAGCAATAGTAAATTCCTGAAATATTAAGAGAGAGGTTTAAATCTGCTTTTCTTTGGAAACACTGGGCAAAGGCAGCCTCTCTCTTAATATTTTGCTGCAGTAATAGAACAGCAACAGGAATATCTGTGGTTTGTGGAGTGGGGAAATGAAATAATAATAATAATAATAATAATAATACTCTGGGACTTCCGAATTCAGGCAGACAGAGTTTAGGAGCACAATACTCCTGACCTCACGATTGTATTAAAAAAACAAAGTATGGATTGTCGATGTTGCAATCCCAGGTGACAGCAGGATTGAAGAGAAACAACTGGAAAAGCTGACACAATATGAGGATTTAAAAATAGAACTGCAAAGACTCTGGCACAAGCCAGTCAAGGTGGTCCCAGTGGTGATCGGCACACTGGGTGCACTGCCTAAAAACCTTGGCCTGCACTTAAACACAATTGGCACTGACAAGATTACCATCTGCCAGCTGAAGAAGACCACCTTACTGGGATCTGCATGCATTATTCACCGATACATCACACAGTCCTAGACACTTGGGAAGTGTCTGACGTGTGATCCAATACAACAGCCAGCAGAGTGTCCGCTGTGGACGCATCTTGTTGTGTTTAATAATAATAATAATAATAATAATAATAATAATAATAATAATCCTAGACACTTGGGAAGTGTCCGACGTGTGAAACAGTACAACAGCCAGCAGAGTGTCTGCTGGGGACTCATCTTGTTGCATTTGTAATAATAATAATAATAATAATAATAATAATAATAATAATAATAATAATCCTAGACACTTGGGAAGTGTCTGACATGTGATCCAATACAGCAGCCAGCGGAGTGTCTGCTGCGGACTCATCTTGTTGTGTTTCTAATAGTAATAATAATAATAATAATCTCTTCCTCTCAACCATCACCAGGCATTTAGTATTTTGTCTTAACAGTGCCATCTCCCATCCCCTCTTCTTTTTCTCCAGCACCACCAGAAGTCCTTCCTGCAATGAGAGGATATGTCCGGTACTTCTTTGGCTGCCGGGAGTGTGCAGAGCACTTTGAAGGGATGGCAGCAGAAAGTATGAGCAGAGTGAGGAACAAAGATGGAGCTGTACTTTGGCTTTGGTCAAGGCACAACAGAGTCAATTACCGCTTGGCAGGTAACAACCCTCTTTCTGGCAGGATATTTGTTTATTGTTCATTAGTCGCTATTGGCTGACAGGTCCCCTATTTCCTCAAGTTGGTCCTGAGCTCACAATAAGAAATAGTGAGATAGGCCAGACCCTGCTTTCCTGCAGCCTGTCAATGCATAGTTCCATAACGCCAAAACTTCAAAATGCCAAAACTTCTTTCTCTAAGAACAATGCCAAGGACCAGATTTCTGTTTCCATACAGCAGAACCTGACTCCCTGCACAAAATCTAAGACTCCAAAAGCACACTTCTTCCTCTTCCCTTGAGAAAGAAGCCCCAAAGTGACCAGACTGCTCCCTTGCAGATCTGCCACTCCATAGGTACACTATCTCTCTCCTTCCCATGGAACAGAGCATAGTGGGTGGACAGACTCCTCAGGATTGCCACACTTTGAGCATTATTAGACTGAGTCTTCTATAGGAATATTCTGCTATGTAGTCCCAAAGTTGTAAATGAATGATAGATGTCTTCCATCCTGGATCCATCTCAGTTTCCTGGCCAGATGTTGACTCTTCTTGATTGGTGTTGACAAACACAAGGCTTGTGTTGACTTCCTTCTTAACATAAGGAAGTTGCAAACATTTCTGTTACCACTGTCCCAGTTCTTATCAGAGTTTCTCATTAGCAAATCCAGCAAGCAGCTAGTTAGTCATTGCAGGCCTTAATATTATATGCATGTTTCCAAAATACATCCATACATTCTTCCATTCATTCCCACACATCATTATATCAAATCTGCACATTGATTTTTTTATTACACCAGGTCCCTCAAACTGTCCCTCAAACTGTTGGAGGGCCAGATTATAATGCACGCTGCACATATTTTATTTGTAGTGCAAAAAAACAATACAATAATTAAAATGAAAAACAATTTTAACAAATAGAAACTTATCAGTATTTCAATGGAAAGTGTGGGCGTGCTTTTGGCTGATGAGCTAGGATTGTTGTTGTTGGTTTGTGCTTTCAAGTCGTTTCAGACTTAGGTTGACCCTGAGCGAGGGCCGGGTAAATGACCTTGGAGGGCCATATCTGGCCTTCGGGCCTTAGTTTTAGGACCCCTGCTTTTGCATATTCACACCCCCATGTCAGTACAGATCATACTGTGGGGAGAGGAAGTTAGATGTAAGTCTCTTCCAAATGCCCACAAACTCAGGAGAGATACACATTCAGATGGCATTGTGTGCCATGAAACGTAAAAGGAAAGTGCCTCTGTTCTGTGTAAATGACCTTGGAGGGCCATATCCAGCCCCCAGGCCTTAGTTTGAGGACCCGTGGTATATACATTAAAATTTTGCACTGAATGGGAAGACCAACACTTGTGCTCAAAATCTGTTTGGGCATTTGAAAATGAGCTCATTCATAAATCTATCTTGCCAGTTTTATTTTGACTTTATTCTACCATGTACAAAAATTCCCTTTCTGCTTGTAATTATATTTCTTATAACTCCCAGATTTCCATGGCTTTTTTTTTTTTTTTTTTTGCTGCAATGTTGGACTTCGATTCAGAAAATGGATGGTGGTCCTGTAATAAGCCAAATTCTTGATTTAAAAAATAGAACACGTAATTCTTTTTCTTGCTATTTTAGTGTGATAAGAGAGAGAAGTGAATCTCTCACCACAAATAAAAAAACAGTCTGCTTTTCTTTTATCGGAAAACCTGGCTCTTTGCTCTTGGTGGGTTTTTGTAGAGGAAGCATTCAATATGTCTTGTTGTTGGCCCTGAAAGTCCAAATAACCCCCTGCTTTGTCTCTGAAGACCCTCCAGTTTTGGGAAGAAACCTGAGTGGCAGCTCTACCACCCACCTTGCTGAAAACAACTTGCTCTGTCTTTTACAAAGGGGGAAATTAAAGGATATGGTGCAGACAAGAGCACACCGAGAGTTAACCTCTACCAGACACAAAAGTTCATTTGTGACAAGGCGGAGAAAGGGGGCCAGCGCTAGCCCTTGACGCTAGAAGAACAAGCAGCTGGCGTTGTTAGGCAGAGATGCAACTGCCAAATCCTCTCAGTCTTGGGGAGGGCTGGCGTGTTGTCTTCTAAAGATCCGACACGTGCCCTGAGAGGACCCTTCTCTCGAGACAGCCGTCCAAATGCTCAGTTTCTCTCACGCAGATGCAATCCTTTGTTCCCTGTGCCTGTTGCCTCTGACATGGGGAGGAGTAGGTGACGCTTGTTAGAGAAAGAGGGATTAAGGGAGAGAAAGGAAGGAAGGAAACACACTCATTGGACTGACAAAGAAATCAAAATAATTGATTTCTTGGGAATTTCTTGAGGATCCAATATAAGACACTCTTGTTTCTTGGGTAGTCTTGGAACTTAATCTTTGCACTTCTAAACCATAGATTCCACCATCACAATGCACTTTAATGTTATTTTGTTTTGTGTAACTCTTGTCCCTAGCCCTTATGCTCTCAAACCAAGGGTAGATAAGAACCATTTCAAGTGTTCTAAAGTCTCCTTCAGAATTTCATCAGCAAATTCAGTTGGAAAATGTTGCAGACCAGCAAGTCTGTCAGCAAGTACAATGGAATGTTAATCAAATTTCACCCATCTGTCCAAAAATTTGGAGCCAGAGTAGCAAGTGAGGGAATTGGCACATGGTTATTTATAGCACTCACTCCTATAGTAAAACCATAATTTTAGACTTACTTACTTACTTAGGTGATCCCTCGTAGTCCGAGGATGATGGTCCTCCAAGTGTAGTATCCTGATGGTGGGTCCGTAGGTAACTGTGGAGCCCCATTCTTGATCTGCATCTTCTCCCACAGTGAGGACATTGGTTTCCAGGTGGAAGGTGGCCCCAGTCACGGTTGGCTTGACGCACCTTCCTCTTGGCACGTTTCTCTCTTTCGCCCTCCGCTCGTGTCTCCCGTTTTAGACTTACCACCAGAAGTATCCAGGACTATTTGCTTTCCTTTGTGATTCCCAACCAATACAGATTCTGCGTTTGAAGACTTCTAGAAATTCAGTCACAGAGAAAACAATATTTTCTAGCCCATCTTCCACTTGATTCCAAAAGACCCTTACTGGGTCTGAGCTACTTTAACACCCATCTCTTCTAAGGTTTCAAGAGAGAGAGAAACTCAATCACTACATCTCTCCTGAAACACAAGCAGAGAGAGATCTCAAAGCACACAGCACATACTCTCCATACTAAAGTGTAAGAAGGCAGAAGGCAGATTAAAAAAGCTTACAGTAGGAAAGTATCAATTTTAAACAACCAATTTTATTTATTTATTTATTTACAACATTTATACCCCGCCTTTCTCACCCGCGGGGGGGGGGAACTCAGAGCGGCTAACATAGGCAGCAATTCGATGCCACAATATCAATAACAACAGTATAAAACCATAAATACATAAAAAAAATTAAAACAGTAACATTAGTTATACAATCACATAATCACATAGCCGTTTCCAATCATCATAACAGTCGCATGGTCCAGTTCCATGTTCAAAGTGCTAATGCACCCACTAGCCAAAGGCCTGGTTCCAAAACCATGATTTTAGATTTTTCCTAAAGGAAAGGAGGAAGGACGCCGATCTAATCTCGCTGGGGAGCAAATTCCACAGCGGGGGGGGGGGGTGACCACTGAGAAGACCCTGTCCCTCGTCTCCACCAGACGCGTTTGTGAAGCCGGTGGGACCGAGAGCAGGACCTCCCCAGCAGATCTTAAGCTGCAAGGTGGAACGTAGAGGGAGATTCGTTTGAATAAGTAAACCAATCAGATTGAGAGCAGAAATAGAGAGAACAGACTAAATTAGATGCATTCCAACTGGCATAATAGGAGACATGGAAAAAGGGAATTCCCTCAGCCTATACTAAACTAACTGACTGTTCCTCATTGAGGGGTTGAGACTTGGGCAGTGTGGAGTTGAACTCCAACAGTAGATGTATTGCATAGCTACCTTGGATCTCACTTTGAGAGAAAGGTGATATATAAAATCAACCAATCAATCATTCTGTTGTCCAAGGCTTTCATGGCTGGAATCACTGGGGTGTTGTGTGGTTTCGGGGCTGTATGGTTGTGTTCTGGTAGCATTTTCTCCCAATGTTTCTCCTGTATCTGTGGCTGGCATATTCAGAGGATCATCTAAAGATGCCAGCCAGAAGTGCAGGTGAAATGTCAGGAGAAAATGCTGATAGAACATGGTCATATAGCCTGGAAACTACACAACACCCCAATCATTCCTTTTCCCCTCTGAATTTGGACTCAAAATATTTTGATTTATAGTAGGTCTTCATAAATCGGGGATTGGGAATATAGGCACTGTATCTCTCAACTCATCCTATCAGTCACATGGCCTCCTCAACCATGTCCATACATATATTTCAAATATTTATTTATTTATTTCCAGTATCTCACCTCGCAGGGGACTCATGGCATATACATGGCAGACATTCAGTGCCACAGACACACAACATATATACACAGACACAGAGGCTATTTAACATTCCAACTTTTTCATGAGAGTATTCTGGCCACCAGGGGAGCTGTTGCTTCACCGTCCATTTGTGACACTGATGAAGTACTTCCTCATTCTTTGCAGGCTTGCTGGAGATTTTTATGGCATCGTAAATTAGTTAAATTAGCCTCCTACATTTCCTACTTGACAGATGCAGCTGTCTTTCAGGCTGCAAAGCTTGACAGCAAGCTACAAAAATTGGTCGGACACTCAGTCCAACCCGGGCTGGCTTCGAACTCAGGACCTTTTGGTCAGTAGTGATCTTAATGCAGCTGACTTCCAGCCAGCTGTGCCACAGTCCCGGTAACTACGTACATTGGTTTATGTTCCCAGATAAGTGAGTGGGCCATACACTGAAAGAAAGTTTTCTGTCCTCCCCCCCCCCCCTGTTCAGGCCCTCCCCTTGTGCACGCACGCACACACACATAGCAACCTGTGCCAACTGAAAAGCATCCTCTGAGGGCCACAGAGCTTCCTGGGCAGTGTGAGTTGTGTTGTTGCATGGGGGCCTTCTGGAGGAGGATTTCTACCTGGTCTTAGGTGATTATCCTCTCTCCATCACCACCACCCCAATGCTGCTAAGAGGCTCAGGTGGCTGCAAAGGCTGAAGAGGGGATTGTCACAATTACCACCCAACATATAATCTCCAAACTAAAATGCCACCTGAGAGGTACCACTATGATATCAAAAATATATGCCTACTTCTTTGTTCAGTGTCAGAAAACATAAAAATAAAGTTTTGACAGGTGAAATGGGATTCTTCAGCAGAACATAATATTTTCTGGATATATAAAGTCCCCCCCCCCCCAGATTATTGTGATGTGACTCTGCAAAAAAAGCAATTCAGACTTACTTTCATTTGGCAAACATTGCTTGTCCATATAGCATGCGACTCAGCAGCTAGACAGGGCAGGTGGCCAGTTGAGCCCCAATTGCTCTCCAACTGGCCAGCACCTCTAACATGACCCTGAATGCCATCTGGTCACCTTCCAGAAGAAAAATTCTGCTCATAGGCCAGCATCCTGGTCTGGAGTATGCCTCACTGATATCTTAGATATCCGAGTCTTTAATAATAATAATAATAATAATAATAATAATAATAATAGTCTTTAGGAGGAGCTGCCGTTCATTTTCCAGTCCTAATTCAAGGTACAGGTTCTTACCTACAAAGCCCTGAACGGTTTGGGACCTGCCTACCTGCATGATCACATTTCTGTGTATGAACCCACATGATCTCTTCGATCATCTGGAGAGACCCTGCTCGCGTTCCCACCTCCTTTGCAGGCGTGAGGGAGAGGGCCTTCTCGGTGGTGGCCCCTCGACTCTGGAACTCACTTCCCAAGGACATCAGACATGCCCCAATTCTGGCAGTCTTTAGGAGGAGTCTGAAAACATGGTTGTTCCAGTGTGCCTTCCCAGAATAAGGAAAACTCAGCAATATGCCCTCAAAATGCACTTTACCACTGATTTAGGACTGACTGCGTTCCCTCATCTCTTTTTGAAGACCCTATACCAGATATATCTTACCTTGTTTTCGTGCCCAGCGTTATTTTTAAATTTTAAATTATTACATTTGGCCCGGCCATTGGTTTTTAAATGCTTGCGTGTTACTGTTTATTGTTTTTTGTTTATGTGATTTATATTAATTGTATTGTATTGATTGTTTTGTTATTGCTCTTGTTATTGATGTACTGTGGGCTTGGCCTCATGTAAGCCGCACCGAGTCCCTTGGGGAGATGGTAGCGGGGTATAAATAAAGTATTATTATTATTATTATTATTATTACTTTATTTATATTCTGCCCTTCTCACCCCGAAGAAGACTCAGGGTGGATCACAATACATATGTTCGGCAAATATTCAATGCCGTTTTGTATAGACAATACACAGGCAGACAGAACAGGAGGTAGTTTGTTTCATCTGTTTTTGGGGCCATGAAAGATTGGGCTTGCATCCAGGGGTGCTGTTGCTCTATCCTGTATGACGAAGAGCTGTCAGGACTTCCTCCTTCCTTTTGGTCACCCAGCATTTTCTGATCTTCTTTCTTTATGGTATTGTAAAACACCTCCTCCGCTATTTAGCGGTACCTAATTTTTTTAGTTGTTTTCGAATTGCTTAGGCAAACAATGAGCTAGGCTGACAGTTGGCAGCTCACTCCAACCCGGGGTTTCGAACTTGCATTTGGTTGATAGATCTTATAATTGCTGATGATTTACCAGCTGTGCTAAACCTCTGGCCCTTATAAATAAAGGTATTTTTATTTATTATTTATTTTATTTATTTACACCATTTTTATCCCGCCCTTCTCACCCCCGGGGGTGGGAGTGGGGGACTCAGGGCAGCTAACATGGGCAACAATTCAATGCCATAATATCAGTACAACAATGTAAAATCAAATACATAGCAAATTAAAACAGTAACATTAATTAAAATCACATACTCATATACAAACATAGTTGCCTAATCAAAATCACATATCCATTTCCAATTGTCATAACAATCCTATGGTCCGGGTTCAGTGTCTAAAGTGCTGCTATGTCCACTAGCTGAGCCTGGCTCCAAAACCACGACTTTAGCTTTTTCCTAAAAGTAAGGAGGAAGGACGCCTATCTAATCTCGCTGGGGAGTGAATTTTAGGGCTTTGTGGCAGATAGCATCTTAACTTTGTCTTTCCTTTGTCTTTTTAAGGTGCCCCAAGTGATGATCCAAAATTCCCCAAGATTCAGTGGCCGCCTCAAGACCTGTGCTGGTCGTGCCAGATAATAGTCAATGGAAAGCGTATGTGGGATGAGAGGGCCATCCTGAGGTTCTTCAAAGCTTATTTTTCACGTAGCAATATTTACTTGGATTTCATAAAGCCTCTGATCCGACGGGGTCGAGATGTTGAAGAGAAAAATAATCAAGTTGAGGGTGAACTAGAGGAAGGCAAAGAAGAGGAAAATGCAAGACAAGAAAAAGAGGAATTTGAGGAAGACAAGACAAGGGCAAAGAAACCAGAGAGTGGGAGAGTAACAAGGAGGAGATCTGGTCTGCAAAAATCAGGCTTGACGGAACAGCATAAACCAAGTATTATCAAAATGAGCACAAGAACCAAAGAGGTGGAGGAAGATATTGTTGATCTTGACTCCTTCAGTGAGCAGCATTACAAGAGCAAGAATTTAAAGATGGCAGGCCAGATCGGGAGCAAGCACAGGCGGATTAAGAGGGACGTTGGCCTGGTGCGGATGGAGAAGGAGGGCCAGCAGTCTTTTGATATTGACACAGCTTGGGAACGGTTGAGACATAAGAGCTGGGGAGGTCAGCAGCTCATCGGTACCATGGAGGAGGAAGAGGAGGAGCTTGAAAAGGAGAATGGGGTTGTCTTGAAGAGGAAGCAGTGGTTCCGCATCCTAGGCATAGGTTTTTCGCAGCTGGACATCAGCTTATGCATTGTCTTGTACGTCCTCTCTTCTATGTGTCTGCTAGGCATGTATGCTTTCTTCCGCATGCACATGAGGTATCGCAAGGGCCGCTCGAGCTTCCCAGTGGCTTGAGAAAGAAGCGGAAGAGCTTGTGCGTGCCTCCTGTGGTGGCTTCTCAACATCAGTTTGTACTCTGGTTACGGATATGCAAATACAGTAACCGGCGAGTTTTGCCCTTGTTGTGAATGGTACAGGGTTACTTTGTGAGGGATCCAAGAATGGGAATCAGAACTTCTCTTTATTATGGCTAAAACAGGCATGTTTTCATCACAATTGTCACACCATGTGTGCCGTTTCCACTTGGATATCTGTATTCGAGTATAAATTGTTGACTGTCAAAAAGGGAGGCGGATTTGTTTCTGAGTGTATGTTGACTATTTGATTTTTTCTAAGGAGTGAGAGGGGCTTTTAATTTTTTTTCACCTGTACTTGGGATTATTTAGCTGATAGTATTCAGGTTCTACCAGGCAAATGTAGCATAGTTTTAACATGGATCTTGAAGACTGTTTTATGTGGCCAGTTTGAGAGCAACAGCAAAATGGCTGTTTCCAATATCGATTAGACACAGAACTCCATAATTATAAATACTTCTTTTCCAGATTAAATACACTCTACATAGTGTTGGACTTAATTGATCAAAAGGCTAAAATTTTAACGCTTGGTAGCTTGAATTATCTGTGAGAGCATTAACATCCTGAAAAACACTTTAGTCTCCCAGTTTCTTGAATCTTAGATACAGAAGCACAGTCTAAACCAGGGGTCCACAAACCTTTTAAACAGAGGGCCAGGTCACTGTTGAAGGGCAGGAATTTGAAAAAAAACCATGAATGAATTCCTATGCACACTGCACATATCTTATTTGTAGTGCAAATAACACTTAAAAACAATACAATAATTAAAATGAATTTTTAAAAACTTACTAGTATTTCAATGGGAAGTGTGAGCCTGCTTTTGGCTGATGAGATAGAATTGTTGTTGTTATTGTGTGCTTTCGAGCTGTTTCAGACTTAGGTTGACCCTGAGCGAGGGCCGGGTAAATGACCTTGGAGGGCTGTATCCGGCCCCCGGGCCTTAGTTTGAGGACCCCTGGTCTAAACTTTCAGTTGGGAAATGCCTTGATTTTTTTTTACTGAACTGGAAGCCAAAATGTCTGAGCCTTTTTGAAACTACCTTCAATAAAGCCAGCATGTGTGTTGCTGTGTTTGCAGCTTCTATTTAAAATAATAATAATAATAATAATAATAATAATAATAATAATAATAATAATAATAATTAGAACTATATTAATAATAGTAATCATCAGAATTCCCCTCCAAACCCCCTTCAGTTGTAATTTTGGTATTAAGCATTGAACAACTGCAATGCACATGCCGTAAATGGTGTCTCTTCCTTTTCCGGGAGTCCTTCCTGGATTGCCTTTTCCTCGGATCCGGAGACCGAATGCAAAGGGCATATGGACATTTGCTTGTGGAATGCCACTGCCATAAAGAAATGAAGATTGCTTATGAAACAGACAGAAATATTCCTCTTAACAGTCAGGGCATTGGAATGTATAAATCAGCCAACTGTGAAAATGCCAAACATAAAACCCTTGTAGCAAACATTATCTCACTATCAAAGGCTAGCATTTTTCCCTTGCTGCTGACTTCGTAGTAGTTGCTTCCACATTCTCCTCATGCCCGCCTCCCTTATTGTCTGCTTTTTTCCTCACTAACCATTCTCCAGCTACTTTGCTTGACAGCAATATTTTTTTTTCATTCAAGCTAATTTCATCCTAATATCATTGCCATCATGACCGTTCCATAAACTGTTGCTTTATTATGGTAGGGTAGAGATAATTTAGAGATAATTAGAGACAATTTTTTTGTGTCATGAGAAACTGCAAGTCGCTTCTGGTGTGAGAGAATTGGCCGTCTGCAAGGATGTTGCCCAGGAGACGCCCGGATGTTTTTGATGTTTTACCACCCTTTTTGAGAGGCTTCTCTCATGTCACCGCATGGGGAGCTGGAGCTGACAGAGGAAGCTCATCTGTGCTCTCCCCAGATTTGAACCAGCGACCTGTCGGTCAGTCTTCAGTCCTGCCAGCACAGAGGTTTAACCCACTGTGCCACCGGGGGCTCCAGTAGAGATAATAATAATAATAATAATAATAATAATAATAATAATAATACTTATTATTTCTTACCAATCTCACCCCAGGTTTGAGGTAGGTTACAACAGAGTTAACCTACAGAATGTCCCAAAAGTCTCCAGAAATAAAGAATATGGGAAATTGTAGCTAAATGTACCGCTATTTACAAAATATCGATTAAAAACTTAAGAATATACATATATAACAATTTTAATATGGTTACATGTATTGTTGAAGGCTTTAATGACTGGAATCGTTGTTTGGGCTTGGCCTCATGTAAGCCGCTCCGAGTCCCCATCTATGCTAAGCAACCTCTGGGGATGCTTGCCATAGATGCAGGCGAAACGTCAGGAAAGAATGCTTCTAGAACATGGCCATATAGCCTGAAAATCCTACAACAACCCAATCCTTGGTTTTACACAGTCACAAAATTACATAGGTATTGATTAGCTCTCAAATTGGAATGTGGCTCGGTTTCTTCTTAATTTTCCTAGACCTCGAGTCAGATCTGTAATGGAAAAAAACACACACACTGCAGATACATACGGTATTGTCACATTTGTGCTTCTCAGGAAACTAATTTTTCCACCTTCTGCACCACTCCCTCCACTCCTTTTATTGTAGTGTACTTTAGCTTTTTCTTTATGGGTTGAGACATTAGTTTTTCCATAAGTGCCTTGTTATGATCCCATGCTCCTAACAACAGTCTGGTTGAGCTGTGGCTAAAAGCATGGACACGCCATGGTTCAAATGTCATCTCTGTTCCAACCTTACTACAGTGGGCTTGTTCTCTCTGCCATAATCCCCCATTTGCAACAGGGGCTCGCTTCCTAAATATTGACCTGTGATAAGGATTACTGAGTTGATGTAAGTGAATTGCTTTGAATCATTAAAGTACACTGTACAAATTTATATTTCTTATATTATAATATGATATGCTAAAATGATTAGGACCTAGCTATAGATGCAGTGAAACACTTTGACAGTGTTCAGAAAGATTTCCCCATTGCCTGTAGGTTTCCAGCAATGGGCTATCCTCATCTATTTCTCCCTCACATGTTTCCTGTTCTGGCTACAGAGAGGTACTGCAATTTTATTCAGTTTTATCATGTTCAACCATGGCTGCTGCCTTAATGTTGGTTGGATTGAGATGGGAGAAGTGTCTTGGCAAAACATCTCAAGGAGCCAAGCATTACTAGCCTCTCTATTTGTCATGTACGAGGGTTGAATGAAAAGTAATGCCTCTATCTTCGTAATTCCTCAACAGTTGTTAATACTGGTATGCGACAGGTACTGGCTTGTTCAGGAGACTCTCCTCTACAGTTCCATTTTGGCAGGAAGCCTTAGCATTCTGGTAAGATTTCTTTCTCTCACCCTGGACACTCCACAGATACGAGGGTTGAATGAAAGTAATGCCTCCACCTTCGTAACTCTTCAACAGATGGCAGTATTGCAATGAGGCAGGTACTGGCTTGTTCAGTAGACTCTCCTCTTCAGTCCCATTTTGGCAGGAGACCTTAGCATTGAATGGTTGTGTTGTTAAAGTGCAAAGTATGGATCCCTGTGCAGACAGTCGGTCACTGCGAATTAAGCAACATGCAGTCATTGAATTCTTGACAGCAGAAGGTGTCACCCCAAAGGAGATTCATCAGAGAATGCAAGCTTTTTATGGTGATTGTGTTGATGTGAGTACTGTGCATTGTTGGGTGAGTACATTTTAAAGATGTTGAGGTGGGAACATCTGACTTTCGTGACAAAGAGTTGGATGTCCTGTGACAGCAACCACCGAGTTTGACAAGCAAAAGGTTGGCAGATTGATTCAGATCAATCTTCCCTCAGAGAGAAATTTCAAGCATAATTGGCAGTTCACAAGATCGTGTGGGTCACATTATTGCTTTACTTGGCTATCAGAAGTTCTGTGTATGATGGATACAAACCAGAACTTCAGAGACTGTATCTCACCACCGTACGACATCCTCCATGCAACCCAAATTTAGCACTGTCTGACTTCCATCTGTTCCCAATAATGAAAGAAGATCTGCAGGGACGTCATTATGCCTTCTGATGAAGACGTTGAGAGAACTGTGAGACGCTGGTTGTGGAAGCAGAGTGTCGACTTCTTCAGTAACGGCTTCAGAAAACTTGTTCATCGTTAGCAGAAATGTATCCAATCGTCTGGTGATTATATGGAAAACTGAATAATAGAAGTTAAAGAGCACATTCTAAAGATTATTTCTGCATTTGATTTATTAAAATATTTCCATCCAAACCCAAGTAACGAAGGTGGAGGCATTACTTTTCATTTAACCCTCGTATTTTCCCAAAGTGCTTTGGCTACCATATGGGTCAGAGCAGAGATGGTTGGCACGTATCATCTCCAAATGCTAATCTATGGGCTGGAACAATCTTACTGTATCCTGGATGGTCAGGTTCTGCAAATAACACTGGCACGATGTCGGGCAATGCTGTGGCCCTGACTGTCAACCAGGGTGTTTGCGAAGGAATGAATATGCTTCCTTTAAAAAAATGACTTTCCCTGCAATCATTTGCCATGCCAAAATGTGTCTGGGATAACAATACCATGAAACCTAAAAATAAAACAGTGAGGAGCTGAATAAAGTTGACCACCCCTGGTTTGGTCTGTGAGCTAGGAGGAACCATAACTAAAACTTGAGTGTCTGCCACTTGTTTAGCACACCATGTAGTTTGGACATACCCTGTATTTACTTGAGTTTAATGTGCCATCAAAGGTATTGCACACATCAATTTTGAAAGTGTGCATTACAACAACAACAAAAGATTGGTTGTCGAATGTAATACAAGGTGGTGGAGGGTCACAAAAAGTCTGGTGGGAAGCGGCACGCCTCTGCCTTGCCTTTCTAACAGCCTTTTTGTGCCCGCCGCTGTCTCCCTCCTTTGACCCTATCTGGGATCTCTTGCCTAATAGCACAGACTATGTTTAGTTGAGTGATTCTGACACGCCAACGAATCTAATGCGTATCTCAATTTTAGCGATGTAATTTAGCTCGAAAAAGGTGAGCGTTAGATGGGAGTAAATATGGTAAATGATTGGATGTTGCACAGAAAAGCATTCCTGTATGTTTTGAGATGTTGCTATTTTAATATTTAATGTAACAGAATGATTTTTTCCTTTTCTGTAGATTATTCTTAAAGTCTTGTGTTTAGCTTTTTTAAAATCAAAAATAACTAAAAGCCAAGATTTTTCTCTTTTTTTAATGTAATATATAAGTGCCGTGAAGTTTTCTTTCCAATGATGTGGACGTGTCACTCTTTCTGCCCAGGGTCTCTGGCTAATAAGATTGCTTCACTCATCTTAATTTTGTCTGTCCTTATCTGCTCTGATAATTATATCACCTTAAGTATTAATCTGCTGGAGGTGTATGCAACAATTGTCAAAAAATGGATCAGCCTTTCTCAGGTATCACTAGTTGGAAGGAAGGCAAGACCATTAACAGTCCAAGTGCCTTCTAGCCAGATTTTCTAAGTAGATGGGATCTCAGTGCTTCTCTCAACCTTGGGTCCCCAGATGTTTTTGGCCTACAACTCCCAGAAATCCCAGCCAGTTTACCAGCTGTTAGGATTTCTGGGAATTGTAGGCCAACAACATATGGGGACCCCTGGTTGAGAACCACTGGAACGGTCTTCTGTATTCTA